CAAAAATGTAATCTACTCCTTTTTTAAATATAAACATTATTTTGTTGATGTTACGCAGCATGCAAATGGTGAGAATGCATGGACAGGAATTGATGGAAATACAGGTGTAATCGCGGATATGAAAGAACTAAAGGTACAAATTACAATCTTCCTTTCTTGAATTAGAATCTTCTTCTGCTTATTGTAAATTGACAATTCTATCCTTCCTTTGAAGATTTGGGATGCATACAATGTGAAGGCGCAGACATTCAAGACAGCCATTGAAGCTGCTTGTATGCTTTTAAGAATTGATGATATTGTGAGTGGAATAAAAAAGAGGCAAGCTCCTGGATCTACTCAGCCATCGAAGCCAACTATTGAGCAAGAAGGTGATGCAGACACTGAGCAAATGATTCCTGAGTGATGATGATTAGGGAGGGGCATTATTGTCATTTACTTTCCCCCTTTTTCTAATGTTGTTTAGTGTTAGGATATGGAGTGTATGTAGGCTGCTGTTGTTACATCTTGAAATTTTGGTGCTTCTGTTTTTTGTTATGGGGTTCACTTTCATTCTTTACTGCTCTTAGTGGATGAGTTTATATAACTGCAGGGGTATTATTGTCATTTGCTACTGTTTCTTTGAATCTTGTGTTTTGTTTCAAGTTTTTTGAAAGGCTTGTGTGTTTAGTAAGGGCTTGCCCTCAAAAGCTTTAGACATCGACCTCCAATCTTTAGTAGATTATACATTTAAGAATTACAATTGAATCCTAGGCATTTGATATTTTAAGTAAGAAAGATGTTTTTATTTTGAGTCGTTGCTAAGAAGTAGGTATAGATACAAACTCGCTCTCAAAAGTAACTACAACGTAAATGTATTATGAGAACGACATTAAAAAAATACAATAAAATATGGCTAATAATGTTAAAATGTTTCAAAATCTTACGTATAGTACATAATTTAAAAAAGAAAGAAATATTCTATTGGCGAACGAAGATTTGAGTCTATAAAGCCGGCTTTCCTCGAAGAAAGTCCTCAAAAGGGCCAAAACTTAAACCCATCATCAAAGCAAGCTTAAGCCTTGTCTAGATAATATTGGAGCACTTTGTGGGCCAAAACATAAACCCATCTTAGTGGATGAGTTCTTTCTTCGAATGTAGGAATCCTATGTGGAGGAGATGTTTACTAGTGAACACCACCTCCAATGGGAGTAATGGTGTTGATTGAAGCCAATTATGAGTTTTCACACCCAATCAAAAACATCTCTCTCTCTCTCACTAGTTATTCACCGGTGAACACCACCCCTAACAATAGTAAATGGGTGGTGAAGATGTATGATGATGATGTGGAATGGTTTTCACATGTATTGATACCCCATAGTCTTAATGTGGCTCATTTGATGATTCAGTACAAGGAAGTCCCGAGTTTACTCACATAGAATATGAAATCTTTTTTATATAAGCTGGTTGTACAACGTTTGTTGTTTATATAAACAGTGTGATTTGCGTGATTTGCGGATCCTTTATTTGCTCCGTAAGGTAGCAAGAGCCAATTGACTTTTCACTAAATAGCCATAAAAGTGTTTTAATTGTAGAAAAATAGTGCGGACAACCGGTCAGAATTAGGTGAAACGGTTCTGCAAAGTTTGTTTGTTCATACAGACAACTAAATGCATGACAGAATTTCTCAACCACTCTATAAATGGAGGCTCAAGATAAATGTTTTCACTTCATCAAATTCAAATCATATGAAGGGGATGCAACAACATAGACATCGCAAAATTAAATCCTAAATATGAGTAAATTTTAAATAGAATGACACGATGAACTTGCGCCAAAAGGTAGAAGAACAAAATTTTCATAATTTTTTTTTTAATTTGTTGACAAATTAAAGGTATTTGAAATAGTTTGTTTCCAAAAAGCAATCAAAATCGTTTTTAAATTAAATTAGAGTAAGACTAATTGAAAATGACATTAAATTAAATATATATATATATACAAATTTACTAGATGTGCATTCCGTCGCGGTTGAGGTTATATGGTTCGAAATATATATATTTACCTTAAACATATTGTTTCTATTTTATTTTATGAAGACATTAACAATGGTTTATATCAGCCTTTTGATTTATTATAAAATTATTATTTCATAAGTAATGTCAATGACTTAGCTATTATTAACACCGATAATAATACTTTGAAACATCATACTCCAAACCACCATAATTGTTAGCATTTCAAGAAGTATATTACTTTGAAACATCATACTCAAAACCACAAAACAACATAACACTAGGGTAAAAAAAAAGTTACAACACATAATATATGGTAGAAACATAGACAATCCTACCAACCAAAAACTAGAACATACAACAAGACCTCCTCACCAGTAACCTCTCTTAGGTTTCCGAACAGCAAGAAACCGATCCAAAGCCGCCAACGCATCCTCAAATTTGCGAATTTTAAGGTACCCCATAATCATCTTAACTTCACTATCATTAAACATAGCAGTATTCATAATCCGATCCACCAACTTAACCAAAGTCTCCTCCATTTGCAAAGCACAAAGCCCTTCAGCCAACATATAAACCGAAGAAAACTCGGGTACATATCCCTTTTCAGTCATCTCAAATACAAAATCAACCGCTTGACCAATGGGCCCACCACCCGAACAAAGCCCTTTAGCCACAATCCGATACGACACCTCATCAGGCACACAACCCTTTCCCTCCATTTCCCTAAAAAACTCCATCGCTGACTCAGCACCCCGTTTCTTAAACAACGTTTGAATCACGGGATTATACGCGTGAGGTGTCACCACCATGTTTTTCAACTGAATGCTTCTTAACAACCTACAAGCAACATCAATCCTTCCTGCTTTACATAACCCTTGAATCAAAGTCCCATAGGTTACAATATCGGGTTCACATCCGTTTGTGATCATAACTTGAACAGTGTCTGTAGCGCGTTTTATGTCTCCCATTTTACAAAAATGAGAAAGAATCGAATTGTAAGTGAATTTATCAGGTTTTAGACCTTCGATTATCATTTGATCCATAAGCATGGCTGCTTCTTCTGCTTTTCTGTTTTTACAAAGCCCATCGATAAGCGTGTTGTATGTAACAACGTTTCTTGAAATCCCTTGAAGCTCCATTTGGTCGAAAATCTCCCCGGCTTCTTCGAACTTTTTGTTTTTACAAAACCCGTCGATGAGGGTATTATAGGTAATTACATTTCGAGGGATACCGGTTGCTTCCATTTCCTTTAGTAGCTTCAAAGCTGAGTCTAGTTTTCCTTTGTTACAATACCAATTGATTAACATATTGTAAGTGAACTCATCTGGTTGACACCCTTTTGTTTTCATTTCATCGAACACTTGGAGTGCAGTTTCGAATTTGCTTGATAAACAAAGACCTTGGATTAAAGCATTGAAAGTGCATACATCGGGTGAGATTCCTTGACTAGTCAAACCAAGGGCAAGTTTGGAAGCTGCTTCGATTTGGTTTTCTTTACATAAACCACTGATTATAGTGTTGTATGTGACTGTATTAGGAGCACAGTCTCTTTCAACCATTTGGCTCAAAATCTCATTTGCTTTTTCAACTTTACCAATTTTACACAATCCTGAAATCACTGTGTTGTATGTGTATACATCAGGATCAGATCCTTCTAGAAGCATTACTTCTAAAATCTCTAAAGCATGGTCAACATGTCCTGCTTTACATAGACCGTTGACCAAAGTGTTGAATGTAAACCGATCTGGAAAAAATCCTTCCTTTGACATCTCCTGGATGAAATTCAAAGCTTCTGAAATTCGTCCCATTTTGCAAAATCCATGGATTAATGTGTTAACTGATATATTAGTGAATTCACATTGTGCTAATCCCATTTGTTCTTTGATTCTTAATGCTCCATCTAAGTTTCCTTCTTCAATGAAACCATGCATTAGTGTGGTGTATGTCTTTTCATCAGGTGTCAATCCATGTGTAGGCATGTCTTCCATCATCAGAATTGCGGGTCTCATTTGATGGGCTTTACAGAGAGCTTTTATCAAGATATTGAAAGTTGAAACATCTTTTTTGACTCTTTTACTTGACATTAGTGAGTGAACATCTTCTACTAGCTTTAGTTTGTTTCCATCCACAAGAACGTTTAACAAGAAATTGAAAGTGTGTGTGCCTGGTTTCACTCCAAACTCTTCTTCCATTATGAACAACACACAAATGGCTTCATCGTATAGATCAAACTTGGCAAAACTTTCGATTAAAATAAAGAAAGTATCTTCAGCTACCTTACATGAAGATTTCTTCATGTCATCCAATACTCCTCTGATTGAATCGATTGAACCTACTTGGCCAAGCTTTTTAAGCATTTCCTCGTAGATAGACAAAGAGGGTGTGAAACATGGTTGCTTTAAAGCCCATTTGAAGGCGTTAAGCACAGAATGTTCATCTTTTTCACGACGCAGGATGTCAATAAGTTCTTTTTCTGAAGGTAAAGTGGTGAGTTGCTCGTAGTGTTTAGTGGATGCAAATGTAACGAAGTTTGCGAGCTTTGTAGAAGTGAAAAGTAGAGATGGATGGTTTAGATTTTGAGGAAGAGTCCATGGGTCGCAACTTAGACAAGAAGCAAAAGCCATTCAAGCTATTCAATCAATAGAGACACCTCGACTTATACTATGACTGTGTACCACTTCAGGCAGAGAAAAGAAAACTCATTCAGGCAATTCAACAAACACCTGGTGGGCAGCTAAAATTCTCACTATTTGGCAAAAAGAATGAAAACCCTTTAAGGAAATCCAACAAGCAATTAACTTATGCTACCCAGTAGCACGCTTTTGAGAATTGTATGCTCATCTGTTGCTCATGAATTCAATTAAAGAAACTTACAGAGATGAGGTAATCTTACCTAGGGAGATTACAAGCGATAAGCAAAGTAACAAAAAAGAAATCTTTGAGCAGAATCAGTGAAAGGAGGAAAGACGATTTTACTAGTGAAAAAACAAAGAAGATTTGTTGAGAGAATCAATTGAGGTCTTCAATGGCGAAGTTAACGGATAAACCATCTATAGGAGCCGCCAACAGACCGCCAAATTCAGTAACCTGCAGCTTGTCAAATACCTGTTTTACCCTCGCGTCAACTTAATTCAATACAAAAATATCTCTAGATTATTAAAGACAAAATTGCAAAAATGGTCCCTATGTTTGGCAAAATTATACGACTTTGGTCCAAAACGATACTTTGATGCACCACTGGTCCAAAATTGGATTTTTCCATTGTTTTTGGTCCCTCCCATTTACTTCCGTCCATATACTCCGTTACATGCAATAAAGACCGGGGTATTTTCGTCTTTCCACATACAGGGACCTTTTTTGCAACCTTATTCAAAATAAAAGCAGAGCTACATCACTCTTCCTTCTTCAACTTCACGAGCTTCATACTCTTCCTACTCTGTGTTCACAATTTCTTAGAGATCAAAAATTAAAATGGTGATGTGTTTCTGTGGTAGGGAAGCGGTGGTTCGCACCTCCTGGACATCAGCAAACCCTGGTCGGAGGTTTCTTTCCTGCCCTCAAAAGGTAAGTGTTCGATTTTGCTATTTTACCCTCATTTTGGAAAATCACCCTCATGTTTAGGGTTTATTTTTTTATGTGAAGGGTTCCAGATGCCGATTCTTAGGATGGATTGATCCTCCCATGTGTGCACGATCTATGTTGATAATACCCGGATTATTGAGGAATATCAACAATGTAAACTATCAAGTGGCAAGATTGAAGATGTGTTTGTTTGCAAGTTGGTTACTATTTGTGGTGGTTTGGGTGCTTTTCATTTAGTAATAAGCAATTAGGGACCCCTGTAGTTGCATGTAATTTTTGGGTGTTTTTTGTCTTATGAAATTGTAACAAGGGAATGTGGTAGTTTTTGGTATTTGATAATGTAATATCAGTTTAGGGTTATTTTGGACAACTTCAGAAATTTGTAACCTTTTCAAGGATATAATGACAATGTATTGCAGTTATCACCGAATGTTAATGTTTATTTGTTGTTTCAGAAAACAGTTCTTATAACCAAAAATGTGTTCCATAAACATGACAACCAACAGTTGGTATAAACCATAAACATCATTCTTCAACAATGACAAAAGGTTGACATTAGTTTCATGACCAAAAGGGCTAAAAGACCAAAATAAAACCATTACAACAAACTAGTTTTAAACCATTACATCCAAATGCACAAAAGTTGTGCTAAACCAAAAGATAAGTTTTTAAACAAAATACACTAATTCCTGCATTGACTGCTACCTCCATTCCCTCCTTGACTGCATCATGCATTCCCTCCTTGACTGCTTCCTGCATTCCCTCCTTCATTTCTTCCTGCATTCCCACCTTGACCCTTGCACGTCCTTGAGTTATGACCCCTATTGTTGCATTTCCCACACCTAACACTAACAAACTTTCTGGTAAGTTTTTCAGGTTCACCTGCACCATGATTTTGCATCTGTTTATCATATTTTTCATCTGCACTTCTCTTTCTCTTGGTCTTAGGTCTCCCAGGTTGATTGTGATGTGGTGGTGGTGTTAATTGAAATGGACAGGTACTTTTTGGCCACATGGCTCTACCCTTTATAGGGTCCACAGTGTAAGAGTAAGCTTCATTCCATGTTTGAAGCCAATACACTTTGTTGACATAAGTGTAAAGCTCCCCAACTTTGTCTCCACTATCAGCCATTTCATGTATTGTAGCTATGGCATGCCTGCATGGAATCCCATTCAATTCCCACCTTCTACATGTACATGACATATTTGTCATGTCAACCACATGCTGGTCATGCCAAGGACCATAAACTTCATACTTTGCAGTCCCATTCCATCTAGCTCTATATTGGACTGAAGCTTCCCTATTTCTCTCAAGTAACTTTGATGCTGTTGGAGTGAGTGGACCTGGAGCTTTGGACATCACTTTCTTCACATTGCAAATCCTCTTCATAAGGTACTGCCTGATGTACTCAAGACAACTTATGATGGGCTTATTCCTACCATGAATAAGCTTACTGTTGAAAACCTCACATAAATTGTTGAGCAATATATCTGATCCTGCTCTGCCTGTATTAAACAAGAAAATTATATGAACTAAACCATATACAATGAGCACTAGTAAAGCTTCACCTAAGTTAGGGAATGTAACCTGAAAAGTGGCTTCTGGCCCAATGGTGAGGGGGGATTTTCTTCAACCACTCAAAAGCATCCTTATCAAACTTGTTAAGTTCATTCATGTAGTGTTCAAATTCTGGTACTGTGGTTGCTATTGCACACTGCCATAAGTGATCTTTATACTCTTTTGTTTTCCATTTTTTCCTCATGTTCTCATAAATATGTCTTAGACAGAATCGATGCTCAGCCTGTGGGTATAGTTGTGCAATAGCAGGTAAGAGTCCCTGTAAAGGATTATTTCACATAATCATTGCAACAATCATATACAAATAAACTATTAGTAATACAAAAAGAAGAAAATAGTACCTTTTGTCTATCACTCATGAAAGTAAAGTTAGAATTTGAGTACAACTCTAAGTCATCTCCCAAGCATTCTAGAAACCATTTCCAGCTACTCATATTTTCAGTCTCAACAATGGCATATGCAAGTGGGTATATGCCGTTGTTTGAATCCAATCCAACTGCTGTGAGTACTTGGCCTGGAAAGGGTCCTTTCATAAAAGCACCATCTAGTCCCAGAATATCTCTTAAACCTGCTTTAAACCCTTTCTTTAATGCCCCTAAGCAAATATACACCCTTTTAAACTGCCTTGTTTCTCTAGTACTGTTAGGCTCATTAACAACCTCAAGCTTCACAGTTGTACCCACATTAGTTGCTTGTAGTTCCATAAGATAATCTCTTAACACCTCGTATTGCTTTGTGTAGTCACCACTCACTTGCTTTGTAGCTGTTGCTTTTGCTCTCTGTACTTTGTGTATGGACACACCAACTTGAAGCCTCTTCTGAACTTGCTCTTGAATGCTTCGAAGGGGTACTGTAGGGTTAGACTCGACCATGTCTAAGATTTCTGCAGATATATACTTCGCAGTGCAAGCCCTAAGTTTTCTAGTTTGAACACAAGTATGTTTGTCCAGTAAAGTTTTCACATACCAATAATCACTATCTTTTGACCGTGAAGTCTGCATTGACCAAGAACAATTTAATTTATTGCCCTTACCTACCCCACTTGCATTTACATTAGGTACATTACCTTTACACACAACCCTAAGCCTTGTTTTGTCGTTTTTCTTGAAGCCAAGATTCCTTCTAGTCTCAATGGCAAGTTTGTTGACTTTGTCCTTAATTTCCTTTTTACTTTTATACTTTTGACCCACTTGAAAAGTAACTGTATGGACTTCACCAAGAGAGCACTTCTTCTCCTTCACCATCTGTTTTAATATTGCTTTCCTTCTTTCATCATCACTATCTTCACCTAATGAGTCCCATTCATCATTATCAATTACTTCAACATCTTCAACATCTTCTGTATCAACAACTTCATTTTCAGTCTCAACACCTTTTCCTCTGTCAACATATTCAACATCTAGATCAACATTCATATAGAAATCACTCATGTCCACCTCAATATCACTTACATAGTTTTCTTCATCTTCAAGAAAGTCACTGTCTTCCTCACTCCCTTCACTACCCCCTTCACTACCCCTTCACTACCTCCTTCACCAAGTCCTTCACAAACTCCCTCACTTTCAAATTGAACTTCCCCTAGTCCTGTGCCAAGTTCTGCACCAACACCCATACTCTGATCATTACCATCATTAAAAGTATATTGATCAAAGAAAGGATCAAAGTCTTCAAATTGAAATGGTTGGTCATCAAAGGTATCAAACTCTCTTGTATTTACTTCTTGGTCACCAACATTTGCACCTTGATCATGAACTTCTGTATCTTGATCACCAACAGCTGCACCTTGATCACTAACATTTGCTCCTTCATTACCAATTTCAACATGTGTATCTTGACCACTAACAGTTGCACCTTGCTCACTAATATTTGCACCTTCATTACCAATTTCAACATGTGCATCTTGATCACCAACAGTTGCAGTGTGTTCCAAGTTGAAACACAATTTCTTACTACATGATTGACTCCCATCAACTAACCTCAATCTCTTATTTGAATTGTATTCGGGTGTCTCATATCTTACTAAACACAATTCAAGATTTGGGACATCTTGATCACCAACAGTTGCAGTGGGCACATCATCTGCTATTTCCTCAATTATGACCCTAGGTTTAACTCTTGGAGACATAAAGTATGTAAGTAACTTAGTTTCATTATGTTCAGTGTATACCTTGATGATCTTATGATGTTCAATGTACTGTGCAAGACTAAGTACATCAATATCATTCCCTAGAGCTCTAAGACCAAACTCCAAATCTCCATTTGGCAATTGATAGTGGTAGTAAATGACTGTGGTACATCATAACCAAGCTTCAGCATCACCTCGTCCAACTCATGCACAGAGAACTCATCCATGTCTACCAAGTCAATGTGGTCTAATTTTCCTTCAATGTAGCTTATCCCTGGGAATTTTGTGAACCTCCCTCCATGATGGAGCTCAATAGTGAACATCGTGGGATATCCTTCTGTAAAAATCATGAACCAAACCAAAAAAACATTACTTTATATGGATTGTAAAAGATTTTTTTTTGTTTCAAAGAAATATGTAAGAAACAGAGTACGTTACCGTAAATTCGGATTGCATCAAAACACTGATTTCTTGGCCTGATTTCCCACATTTGGACCATACTCGTGGATTCAAACTTACGATTGCGGTTGATGATCAAATGCAAGATTTCAATGAACGATTAGGGTTTTCGATCAACAAGTTGGGTTTAGTGCGTATAGTGAAGGGTCATTAACTACGTATATCATTCAATATGGCGGTAATCGATGATATGGAGGTGGAAAGACGAAAATACCCCGATCTTTATTGCATGTAACGGAGTATATGGACGGAAGTGAATGAGAGGGACCAAAAACAATGGAAAAATCCAATTTTGGACCAGTGGTGCATCAAAGTATCGTTTTGGACCAAAGTCGCATAATTTTGCCAAACACAGGGACCATTTTTGCAATTTTGTCATTATTAAATAAAGTTGTTTTTTTTTTGAAGTAAAAATTCAAAAAGTCTATGGATCATCTCTGCAAACTTTTGCAGCAGAAAAGGTAGACCACACGGCTACTAACTGTAATAAGAAGTGTGTTTATTTTTGTTAACATCTGCAGACTGCTGCAGACATTAAAAAATTAAAATAAATTAATTTAATAAATCGAAAATTGTTTTTAAACACATAAAATTTAATAATTATAATCTTAAAACATTGAGATAATAAAATATAATATGTTATATGTTTTGTTACAATCTATTTTTCCATTTTATTTTTTATTTCATAATTACAAAATAATAGACACTTATTTAAAAAAAATGAAAAATGAAACTATAGACACTTATTTTAAAAAACATCATTAAAATCAATTAATTTATGTAAGTCAAATGGGAGAAAAGAGTTAAAAGAGATATAAATTTAATGTATTAAATGTTAAAGGGATGAAAATAGAATATAATATATAAATAAAGGACCATAAATGTAATATTAAATATACTTCATGACATATATCCTTGTTCAATTTTTGGAAAAAAAAAGGATGATGGTTTTTTGGGGTTGGATTTTTTTTGGTTTAGGTTTGAAGGGGTGAGAAGAGGTATAACAAGTGCTTCCCCAAGAAGCATACAGACAAAGGTTTTAAGCCGCGAAAACTTCCGAAAAACAAACTGTTGTGGGACAAAAAGTGTTACGCGTGTGCTGCGCCGCGCAACAATAAGAGTTTTGAAGATGTTTTTCTTAAGAAAAACAAACAACACCATCTATAGGAGCCGCCAACAAACTGCCAAATTTAGTAACCTGCAGCTTGTCAAATACCTATTTTACCCTCGCATCAACTTAATTCAATACAAAAATATCTCTAGATTATTAAATACAATGTAAAAATTAGATTTAGTTCGGCGGAAAGAGAATTATTAAGGTAATTTGGTTTTTCGGTTTACTCACAGTATTTTTTTTTGTACATATTTAGGTAACAAATTTTTTAGAAGTGTTTACGTATGACCATTATGACAGGTTGTAACAGGTAACATCCAATCATAATCGATCATATTGGTCATATGTGAACACTTCAAAAATTTTGTTATATGCATGTGTACAAAAAAAAGATAGTTACCCATACGTGAACAAACCGAAAATGTAAGAGTAAATTACATGAATGGTCCCTGTGGTTTGGATAATTTGTGCGTTTGATACCTAACTTATTTTTTTTTTAACTTGGATGATACCTATTATTTATTTTTATTGTGTGTTTGGTCTCATCGGTCACCATCCTATCTCTAATCCTCCTCAACTTTTTTTTTTCCTATCTTTAGTGACATCGACATCTTCACCATCCATTCTTTTTTCGGTTCTGCAACTCCAACGAACCAACACCACAACCCTTCTATTAGAGGTGACAAAAATTGACACGACACAAAACCCGACACGAACCCGACATGAAATAAACGGGTTTGGGTAAGATATTTCAACCCGTTTAAATAAACGGGTTAATACGACACGACACGAAAATTAAATGGGTAAGGTTAGGATTGAGAATTTCAACTCGAATATGACTCGAAAATGACCCGTTTATTTATTTGCAAGTTTTTTGATTTATTTAAATAAACTAGAAAGATACAAAACCAAAAGCATAAGCAAAAGAAAACCTTTGAATTGAATTGTTTTGTAATGTTTAAATAACTTAGCCGTCTAAATCAAGATTTCACTTCAGTTCTTCCATTCTCTCCCAAACTACCCAGTCTCTTTCACCACTCTCACATCCTCATGACCTTGTCATCCGCCTCCCCAACTCTCACTCTTTTAATTTTGTCATCTAAACTTGCTATGGCTTCATCTATTCTGCCTCAAAACAATTAGTTTTTCATTTCTGCCTACCAAACTCCTACTCTTTCAACATGCTCAACCTGTTATTACAAGGTATAGCCCTAACCCGAAACCCGACACGAAAATAAACGGGTTGACACGACACAACACGTTAATTAAATGGGTCGGGTTAGGGTCAAGCACTTTCAACCCGTTTAGTGTTTTGGCACGACACGAACCCGACACGATTGCCACCTCTACCTTCTATTGGGTTGTGGTGGTGGAAAATTCAATGAAGAGACAGTGAGTTGTGGGTGAGGAAATACAGATATGTAGGGTTTATTAATTTTTTTAATATATAAAAAATAAATACCTAAATAAGAAAATTAATTAAAAAAGACACAATAGTCTTTTGAGGTAAGACATGGACCAAATGCACAACAAAAATAAACAGTAAGGATCATTCGAGTTAAAAAAATAAGTTAGGGACCAAATGCACAAATTACCCAAACCACATGGACCATTCGTGTAATTTACTCTTACCATTTCGGTTTGTTCACATCTAGGTAATTATTTTTTTATACACATCCAACTAACGAACTCTTTGGAAGTGTTCACATATGACCATTATGCCCGGATTCAACTTGCTACAACTGGTCATAATGGTCATATGCGAACACTTCTAAAAAGTTCGTTACCTAGATGTGTACAAAAAAAAGATAATTACTCAGATGTTAACAAACTGAAAAGTTAATTACCTTAATAAGTCTATTCCCCTTTAGTTCGCCGTAAAGTTCCTGAATATTCTTACGCAATACAATGTTAGACTTAGGGATGAACATATGGACCGGGGAACCGGCCGGAACCGGTACCGAAACCGGAACCGGCACCGGAACCGGAACCCGATAGAACCGTCAGGCCGGTACCGGGACGTTATTTTTGTGGATTTTTAGAACCGGGAACCGGTAGAACCGGAACCGGTAGAACCGGCAAAAACCGGAACCGTATGATGCTATTTTTCGAGGACCGGTTCCAACATTTGAAGACACGACAAGAACCGGTAGGAACCGGGAACCGGTGGAACCGAAACCGGTAGAACCGCCGGGCCGGTTCGGTTCTTGATTTTGGCCGAAGCCGGTTCTCGGTTTCGGTCCGGTTCGGGCCGGTTCGGTCCTTTTGCTCACCCTTAGTTAGACTTGAGGGTATACCATGGGAAAGACGAGCAGGAACTTTTCACACATCTCGAACATAATAACGATAATACCGAGGGAGTGGAAACCGACCGAGGGAGGTTTCCTTGCCTCCTCTTTCTTGTTGTGATTCGTAAATTTTTTTTCTTCTAGCTGTTCCAATGTCGAAAGAAGAAATATTTTATTTGTTTTCTTAATAATGGCTACATTTCGAAAATCTATATATAAATGTTTTATTTATTTATTTGTTTGTTTATTTATTATTATTATTATTATCATTTTACACATCTATAAATGCATCATTATTTTTATTTTTTTTTATTTTTTATAGAAAAAACATCATAAATGGTCCCTATGGTTACACAAAATCTGAAGTTTAGTCTTCGTGGTTTAAAAACCTCATAGATGTTCCCTGTATTTTCAAAACTTTTGACGGTTGGTCCTTATTGCTAACTCCGTCAATTTTGTGTGTTAATTGAAGGGCATTTACGTCATTTCACTACCACAATGACCATTTTTGATGTATTCTCTTATTTTTTATTAAAAAGAAAAAATTAAATATAAAAATTTTATATATAAAAAAGTCTTTCTCCCTCCCCTCTCTCTCTCTCTCTCTCTAAAAACACATATAGAAACGGAAAACAAAATGCTAGAAAAATCAACCCAACAGCTCCATTGAGCTCCACCATCTTTTCACCATTCTTGTTCATCCAAAAGCTGATTCACCCACCTCCTATCCCTCTATACTTCTCCATTCCTCTAATTTTTATCGGGGAATTGATTTACTGGTTGTTCTTGATTTTGGTTTGGAGTTGATTACAAGTTTTAATTTTCATTTGGGGAAGGGTTCAGAGGGAGATGATGATGGTGAAGAAGAACAGGTAGGAGGCGAGAGGAGGTTGGAGAGGTGAGATGAGTGGCAAAAGTAAAAGACACACACATGGATTTATGGTGTGACTAGGGAACTTCCATCCCTGTTCAAAAACTGATGAAGATGAAACCTTCATCCCTATTCAAAACACCATTATAGAACCTCAACAAAATCAAAGGTTGGGATACGACGTTGATGACTTTCATGAAGGCGTGCAACAATACAATGCTCGATGGGTCTTTTTATCGAGAATCCATTGGAAAAGCAACGCTCACCT